GCGGGGCTGGCCTCACAGCGGGGCTGGGGTACGCCAGAGAAGATGCAGTCAAAAGAACCGGAGCGGGAGCAGCCTCCCTCCTGGGGATCTGCACGGGGCCCGCAGTGCTGTGGAGGAAGGACCACGGCCACGTCTGGATGGGCAGGAGGGAAGTGGCCACAGGCGAAGGCTCCCTTTCTGCCACGTAATTATTCAGGTGGGAGAGGAGGCGCAGCCGGATGGGGTCAGCAGCATTTTGACCCTCAAGGATGCCCAGGTACCTGACAACTTCAGTGAGGCATTCACGGAAGCCAATGCTCCTGTAATCCACAGCCAGAGCTCGAGCATCTAAGAAGCCTGTAGGGAGAGGACACAGTGACGATAAGTCCATGCGGAGCTCAGGAATGTGCTTGGATTTCACTACCCTCTCTAACACACTGTGTATTTCACTTGAGGCACTTTGCTGCCGGGCGATATTCCTGACGCAGACAGCCAAGTGGGTGTCCAGGACTGGACGTTTGCATGCATGAGAATAGCATCTGTGGTTATCTCATCGGGATAGAACTGCCAAGGTCATGAAGCCTCTTACTCCAGCATGTGAGACAAGTAGGAGGTTTCATTAACTGTGCTCAGGAAGGAAGAAATTTTTCCTTTTGGATTCTATCAGTTATTGCTGCTGGAGACTTGTCTGTGGGCCAGATGGGCACTGGGTCCCTCTTTGCAGATTGACCATCCTTGGTCCTGCAGACCGGTGGGACGCTGGGTCTCCCCATGCTCAGCTTAGCACCGTTTTCCTCTGCCTGGCTCCCAATTTTTATCCTTCATTTAAGCACATATCCGGCTGAAGGACACGGGACAGTGGCAGAACCAAAACCACTGGGCCAAGAAAGCTCAAAGCCACAGAAATCAACAGGATAAAATGCAACCCATGGCTGGTTTTTAGGCTTCTGCTCCCTACTTGCAGCTCCATAAGACAATCAGCAATAAAGCAGAGAATGTCACAGCACAGTGAAGCTCTTGGACCACTTTGCTTGACAGGGTCTCTCATGACAATACAGCCCTTTGTTGCAGTGCAGTCAAACTGAATATCTAAACAAATGTTCCAGACCAAGTTACAGCTCTGAACCAAAGCCTGGATGCCAGCAGTGTCCTCAGCAAGCCAAAACCGGGTGGTAAGCAAGCCAGAGGCTTCTTTACTGGAGCTGTGATCTCCATCCTGTTAACTGGAACAGGACAGAGGGTCTGTACTGAGGTCTCGGTACAAATAAGACCTTTGTTGAATTTTGCACAGGGCTCCCTCTCTCTTCTTGTAACAACCAAGAGACACACACAAAAAAGAACAGAGAGGGAAAAAAGCCTTGTTTATTTGCAGAGTCCCCATGCAGAATCCAGCCTCTGCAGGAAACGTATCCCAGGGAGGAGGTAAAGAGCTCAATACCACTTGCCTGGGAGCTGAGCAGGACCAGGCACGTCTCTGGCTGCACAGCTTTTAGCAGGGTGTGTGACAACGACAATAGTGACATCCCCATGGGTCTGTGGGATTTGCCATCTCATATACCACTGTCTGCCAAATGGATGCATGGAAACATCCCTCAAAGGGCATTTCCCTTGGGAAGCAGACAGGGCAGCAGTCAGTTTGGTGCTGGTGTCAGCAGGGCATGGCAGCATCAAGATACTGCTTGGTGCCCAGGCTGATGGGGAATTTCCCTTCCAGTTTTCACCTTCACCTCTCACATGTGCAGTTCTTACCTGCTCCTCCAGTGGCATGAAGCATTTTTAAGTGATCTACTGTCATTTGTAGAATTTCTGCCTTCTCCAGCTTGGAAGACCCCTGTGCATTGGGAGCAGGAAAAAGAGCAATTCATCATTTTATGGGCTGGGGTTTTGTGCCTCTCAGGAGCTGCCCAATGACCTCCCCCCTCCAAAACCTTCCTGAAACCCCGAAGCACCCAGACGGAGCAGAGGATCCATCCAGGACACTGGCTCTGGTTTTTGCATCCTTCCCAAGGTGCCCAGATGCAAATTGAAAAAGCCCATTTCTGTGCATCTTCATATCTGGTTTAACCAAAACACTTCCTGGATTGACTTTAGCCTCCCCAGGGCTCCTGAATATTTGGGAATATTGTTTTACCACCCAGTTTCACCACCTACTTAGTCCCTGAAGTGATGATGATAAGACAGCCCGGATGGGAGGAAGGGTGGGAATCATGGACACACTCACCTGCTTCTCGAAGGCAGTGGGCACCAGGCGCCGCAGCTCCGAGAGGCTGCTGTTGATCCGGTCCCGGCGCCGCTTCTCAATGATCTGCAGGAGATTCCCAAGGGGAGAGAAGAAACCAGAGTCATTTATGGCCACAGCTTCACAGCTTATAAACTGCTAAGGCAGGTTGGGAGAGGGCCATATAAGTAAGTGGGTTTGGCGCAAAAGCTGAACACAGCAACGTTGACTGGTGTGAAAACCCCAGTGAAACCGTGCTCCTCCATCCCATCCCCACCCTTTCCTGCCAAATCTGAGGCCAAACTTCTGCAAAATACATCTCCAGTTGGTTGTGGGGAGAGTTCTGCAGGAGATGGAGCAGAGAACACTGTGAAGTTCTTTTTCCACCATGTCCTCACGGTAAGGACATGCCCACAGCACCCCACTGCATGCAGAGGATGTGACAAAGAGCCCTTGCAAACAGCCTGACTCCCCCGGGAGACACAGCACAGCCACTCTGAGCAACATAAATGAGACTCACCCCTCTCCTCTTCTTCCTGGCTTGTATCTGGGACGTCGTAGTGGGAGACACAGACCTGGAAACATGGCTGGAAGGGAAGAAGAGGCAATCATTTCTCATGCTAGCTGGAGAGGAACCTCCATTGCACATGTGCTTTACAGACATTTGCCATCTGCAGTTTCCCCCCTCCCTGGATAACGTCTTCTGTGGTTCCCATCTTATTTTTACCCACAACACAGAGCTCAGGAATTGGGGATGGGGAGCCAAGCAGAGACTCAAGTCCCACTCCGAGTCTCCCACCAGCCTGGGACAGATTTCTGCACCAAACGGTCCATGTGCTACCAGGCACCCGTCTCCCTCGATCTCAACCCATGCCAGCATCTCCATGGGGCTGGAAAAGCAGTGATCCAAGCTCTGGAGTCGTGGCCTTTTCCTTCTCCATGTGTGAACCTCCCCGCTCTCGTGTCTGAGCCTGCCCTGTCTGCAGGGCTTTGCCTCTTGGAGCTGTGATAGCACCACCTCGTCCCTGAGCTCCCACCCAGGGGCAGTGAAGGGCTGGCTGCTCCTCAGGGTGAGGCTAACAGCAGCATTGATGCGGTTTCTGAGGGCTTCCTGGAGAGTCACTTCACAAAACACAGGGTTTAGAGCAGGCTGCAATGTTCTGAATGCACCGGGGATGTTCTGGATAACCCCCAGTCCGGCAGACAGGAGCCAGGAGCTGGGCAGGGGAGCACCCAGCAGGAGGTGATGGAGCGGGGACCCTGCCTGCTGGCCGACAACTCTGCTTGAGGGACATGGGGGGAACAGGCTAAGAAGGGCTCCCACAAACCATCTTGTGCCTGGTGGGCAAGGGTGAGGTTAGAGACAACAAAGGTCAGCACTAGACGTGCACAGAGAGACTAAGTTCAATCCCCAGGTCCCTGCGGAGGTGAAGATGCCACAATGATGGATAACCCAGCGTGGGAAACTCCTTGGAGCAAAGCCTCTCTGCCTGGGGGGAGGCTGCCCAGGGCCACCTTCCATCTCCACAGGCAGAGTTTCTCCCTCTGGAAAGCTCTACTGGCTTAGGGCTGTTTTGTGCCCTATGGAACCTGGTGCAGGGATGTTAACAGCAACTGCGGCCAGCCCCGTGCTGCCGAGGGACCACGCGGGACATGGATCTGGGAAGGGGCATTTTAACAGCAGCCTATTAAAGATGTTTCTGCAGTGACAGAGCTGTCTGAACAGCATGCCAAAAACCAGACCCAGCTCAGCACATTAGAAACAGGTTCTGGTGGGCCCAAGCGAGGTGCTTTCAGAGGTGGTTTTACACACTCAGATGAAGTAACATGTTCTTCACTCCCCTCCAAGGGCACCTATCTGAATGGCTGCTGGGTGGGCTTTCCCTGGGCATAGGTGCTGGCTGGTTCCAACAAGCACCAACACGTGTTGCCAATATACATAAACACACATAGGATGAGCATGAATGATGTAAAAACAAGGCTCTGGGGCATGATACGTGCCAGGGGTCGATACCGAAGCCTCCCAGGACACAGGAATGTGGAACATGCACTCAAGGAGCTGTAACAGGGAGTCCTGAAACTCTCCTTGCAGAGCTGTCTGAACGTGCTGCTGTGAGCTGCGGCTCCAGATGTGGATATAAAGACCAAGCTCACTGCAAAATATGCTTTCAAAATATGCTTGACAGATTTGAGCCACATAAAAGACACCCTCACAATGTTCTCTGATGATTAGAATTACTGTGTTGCTCTCTGCTCGCTTTTATAACTTACAGCACAACTTTGGCTGTTGATTCAAAACAAGAAGGAAAACCCCAAAGAACCCAGCCCTGTCAGGGCAGGAACAGCTCTTTCAGCTGTGTGTTGGTGTGACACGAGCAGTGGTACACACATACACCAGGTCACAGTGCTGCCTGGTTCCATGACTTGAGAAGATAAACGTCTTAGCAGCACCAGAGAGCTCAACAGTTCATCATTCCCATTCACTGAAACATGACAATTCCTCTGCTCCATCCGTCAGGTACTGTAGACTCAGTGCTGCACTGATGTGAAGAGGTGGGATGTAGTTCACATGCAGCAGGGAGGTAGCTTAAACATTGATGTACTTGGAAACTGCCTAAGGGGTCAGTGAATCGCTGCAGGACGCTGCTTCTCAGACTCTGCCACGAGTGCATCAGCGAGAAGCAGACTCCTGAATTTAGTCCCATGAGAACGGGAGCTTGGCACTGGGCAGGGCGACTTCCCTGCTTGGGATACCAAGCAGCAAAAGGGAATGAATTAACCTGGGACTCACTGGACACGAAGGGAGGGAGGGAAACACTTGGCTACTGAAAGAGGAGTTCTAAAGCAGCTGAGTTTTGGAGCAGAACAGGTCGCAGAGCCTTTCCTTCATCCCCAGCACCGGCTGTGTGCTCAGAGCCCGGGCACGGCTGGCACAGCGTGGGAAGCTGAGCTGCTGGGGATGCCCTTTGCCAGGGGAGCTGGCGAAGCAGGAGGACATGGCCTGGGAACCACGCAGGGGTCCTGTGCTCGCTATTTCCTCACTATCTCCCCGAGCTGC